GTCTTCTTTCCTAATATATTTCCATTGCCTGGCCCATAATAGCATTCTGTGCAAATTAGATGATTACATAAAGTGACCAAGCATGATCCTGATTATATACTATACTGACAGCCCTGCACTAATAAGTACACACCTCTAGTTAAGCAGTCACATATACACTGTTTTTTTTTTTTTTAAGATACTGAGAATGAATCTCATGACCACCTGAGCTATAATCCTAGTCCTTTCATTTATAACTCGTTTTTGTTTTTGCTTTTTGTCAGTTGTGAGGCATGAGTACAGGGCCTGGGCTCTGTCCCTGAGCTCTTTTGCTCAAGGCCATCACTCTAGCACTTTGAGCCACAGCTCCACTTCCTGCTTTTTGGTGGCTAATTGAAGATAAGAGTCTTATAGATTTTCCTGCCCAGGTTGGCTTTGAACATTGATCCTCAGATCTCAGCCTCCTGAGTGGCTAGGATTACAGATGTGAGCCACCAGTACTTGTTTTTGAGTTGAGCTTTCACTAACTTTGTCTCTTGATCTTCCTCTCAGGTAGCTGGAATTTTATAGGCATGAGTAACCGCCTCTACCTACAACCCCGCTTTCCATTTGAACATAAATCAGAGGATAAGAACAGACTGAGATATTTCTTTCCTTTCTTCACATATCCAGTCCATAAATTTTTCCTCAAGCTCTTCAATTTACCTTTGGTGGTAACAAAATATGGGTCTTTCTAATCCTTACAGTTTTAAGCATCTAAGCAGGAAATAGGGTGGTTACATCTAACACAACATGCTAGAATGTAACCACCACCTCACTGGTCCTTCTTTTTTTACCCCTCCCCCTCAAGCCATCTACCATTTCAGCCATAGATCAACTTCTGGCTTTTTTGGTAGTTAATTGTAGGTAAGAGTCTCACAGACTTTCTTTCCTGCCCTGGCTGGCTTCAAACCACCGTCCTCAGATCTCAACCTTTTGAGCAGCTAGGATTACAGGCATGAGCCACCAGTGCCTGCTATGCTACTATTTTCTATAATGAAAGCAAAATGGTGTCTAATCACTTGACACAGTAGTAACTTATTCTGATAAACTGTTCTAACAAATAGAAAAGTATCCCCATTACTCAAACTCAATCTTACTGTATTAGGATGGGTGGTAAACCTTAGGATCTCTCCAGCCTGTTCATGCCCAGCACACTGTCAGTCTCTAAGAGTAACTCACTAGCAGAATGTTTTCTCCTTCTTCTACACTGTAACAACTATTAGTCAAATCACTCTGACATGGCAGTTTCATATTCTCTATTTTGATTAAAGGAGTCCTCTCTGATACCCACAGCAAGTCATCAAATTTTAACATGATTAGGTCACAGCTGAAAAGACTCTGCCATCTACTAGTGCTGTAATTTCTAATATATTGCCCTAGGCATACTGAAACCAACTCATTTTAATGTCATTTTGATCAGCAAAAAATTTTGAACTTTCACATTAGTAAACTGTCTTCACTCTATAATTCTGTAAACAATATACCAAATACATTGAAAGTATCAATTCTCTGGTGAGTTACCCAGATGTTCAAGGTGATAGAGCAAAACCTCCCATCAGTCATAGCAACCTTGTGCATATCTATTGCTCATTTTGTTAGAAGTATTTTCTCAGTCCACCACGTGGACTTGATAATATTTAGGATCTTTTTTCCTATTTCAAAGTTCATACAACAAAGATCTCAAAGTACCTCAGAAACAGGTTTTTAACATCAATAATAATTCTGTAGGAGCCTAAACAGAAAATAGGATACTGTGCTGAATGTGTAGGATCCTCCTGCCCCCCTTCCCCAACAGAGGATGAGGATCAGGTAGGTGGCTCCAGTGGAAGAGCACTTGCCCAGAAATCCTGAGGCTCTGATTTCAAACCCTAATATGGATTAAAAAAATTAAACATTCTTGATATGAGCTTTATTTATAATCCACCACTTCCTTATCTTATTGAAAAAAGGGCTGAAAAGGTAGATTTGATCTAAACTTCATTTACTTGTAATACACACTTTTCTATCCCCAAGAGGAAAGTTTGGATTTAAAATCAAAACTGGCTTCTCCTTGAGGATATACTATAATGAAAACATTATTTAAGAAGACTTTCTAGTTACAGTGTCAAAACATTTTCCAGTTGTAGAGAGAAAAAGAAAAAAATTTTAAAAAAATTGTCTTGCAGTATTGCCAGTTAAACTCATGGCCCTAAGCTTGTCAGGGAAGATATTTAGTACATATGCCGCACTCTAGTTCTTTTTGTTTTGTTTTTCAAGTAAGGCCTTTCATTTTTACCTTCGCTGGCCTTGGCAAGGGTCCTATCTCCACCTCTGGAGCAGATGAGATTCAGGCATGCAGATCAGGCCAAGTTCATTTTTATTTCTCTGAAGTTAGTGCATGTTCTTAAGATGAAAGAAGAACAGAAACTAATACTAAAATTCAGACAACCTTTAAAAACATATAGGACCAAGGATATTTTTGCTGTTACCTCTTTATAGTTTGTATGGCTTTAAATCTTACTGAGTCTAAAGGATCTCCTGAAGAAAGTGTGCAGTTGAAGAGCAAACACCTGGTTTATAATCCCAATGTATTTTCATGGAACTATATTGCTTAGCTAACTTGACAGAAGGTTAGCTCAAATTTTGTAAGACCTGGAGTGGTCATAAATCACTGCAAGTACCTTAGTGAAAGATTTCAACCACAGAGGTTATGCTTTTGTCCTCACTGCTCAAAGTAAAACAAATAGAAGCAGTGACAGCCTAAAAACTAAAACTTACTTTCTACTGAAATCTCATGCAAATTTGACTGTTTTAACAGAAATGGATCATGGTTTTCCAAATAAAACTTCCGCAGATATATCCATAATTGTGCAGATGCTCAATAATTGTGTCAGATGACCTGTTGATATGGAAACAGTTCATCCTGTAAAATACTCCAGGAGTATTTTTTCATGACTTGGGACACATAATGAATAGAAGCATTTGGAATGGCTGACTTCTTAAAAGTTAATTTTAAAAACTGAAAATATTAACGTTTATAAGGCTATATAGTCTTTGGTTAAAAATTAAATGATACAAATGGGTGTGTGGTAAAAGTCAAATTTCCCTTTGCTTCTGTCAGTCTGTCCTTCCTAGATTTTTCTGTCTGGATCAACTATTAAGATTTTTTGGGGAGGGGGGATATAATTCCGGACCCATTTCTGGCTTTTCCACATAAATACCACAGAGACTTAAAGTAGTGTGCTCTAAGTAAGATTTACCACAAGAGTATACAATTCTGCTTGAGCTGTAAAAATACTCCACCATGTAAAAATAGTTTTAAGTTGAGTGACATTTAAAAAAAAAGCCAGATACTATATTGTTTTCACGGTGGCTATGCTACCATCGCAGAATTCTTCTTGCAACAAGAACATGCTTCGTTTTGGCCAGAGAGGGCAGTGCATACCAACTGCAAAGGCACCAGCAAAGAGCTGTGATTGACCTCCTGTCACTGCTGGAGAAGTAGCCTCTGCCACTGCCTAGGCCAGCTGTTTTGCCAAGTTCTGCGGTTAAAACAGTGTAACAGAACCAAGTGATTTCTTCCTAGGCTGCTCTGACATGGGCAGTGAGGAGGGCGATACAGACATGAGTGCACAATAGGACATCGGAAGAAATCTTGCCAAGCAGCATTATCAGAAATGCATGTGGAGTTACAGATAACTCAGAATTTTAGAGATATTCATTTTCATTATTTTATTTTACAGTGGGGTTCATTCAGAAACAGGATTTTGTGGGTTAACTGAAATATTCACCAGCTGGAAAGTTCCAGGTTACTTAAGCTGAATATATGGGTATATACATAGTTAGGTAGTTAAACTTGTAAATAGCTGAAATCTCAAATTTAGGAATGTTTGATCAATTAGAACACGTTTGTACATGTAATTTGTTCAATTACAAGTAAAATTACACACAGGAGTTTCTAATAAAACAGGTTAGAAAGAGGTGCTAACATAGAGGGAATACACTAGAATTTGTTTTTGGACAAATATTAAGCACAATGAATAGTTAAGCATGATGCTAACAGCATATTTTTCCTCATTAACATAAAAAGATTATTTTCTAATACAAGTATTCAGATATTCAATTTCCAATTAAATCACGAGAGAAAAAAGGGGAGTCTTTTACTGGATCGGGGATGTGGTTTTCCCTGAGAACTGAAGCAACTTTTCATCGTAACCTAAATTATGTATACTAGTTTATCTAAAATAATACCTACCGGGACGTGCAAACCGGTTAGTGTGTACCAGCCCTTTGCGTACTGGGCAAAATCTCGGCACAAATAAGTATCAACTACCAGCGTGAGGGTGTTCGGGATCTCGGGGAGGCAGCTCGCGGAAGGCCGGTCGGGGTACCACGCGTCTCGGGAAGCGGCTGGGGCGCCGGCGCGGCCGCGCTCCTCCGGGCCGACTGAGCCGGGTCCGCGGCATGCACGCGCCGCCCCCGGAGCCCGCAGTGGTGCCGCAGCCTCCACGGCCGCAGCAGGTGGGAGCCCGGCGGCCGGGAAGGCCTCGAGGTACGGGGCCGCGGGGCTTTTCGAAAACCGCTCCACGACGTCTCGGCGGGGGCTAGGTTTGCAGGGAATTACTTTTCGCTATCGCATTTGCAGGACAGGCCTTCGCCTCAACGCCGCGAATCCCGCAACTTAGCAAAGCGACGTGCAGACAGCTCCGGAAGGCGCGAGCGCACTGAATGGGGCCCCCTCGGGGTGGCCGAGGGGCCTCCAGCGCCGCCGCTGCCCGAGGGTATGCCACCTCCCGCCAGGTCCCCGCACGACCTAGCCAGACCCGAAGGGCTGGAGGGGGAGCGCTCGGAAAGCAGGAGGATCCGGGCCGGGCGCGAGGGCTCCGCCAGACAAAGGGGCGCGTCGGGTGCCCGGCGCGGAGAAGGGGCGCGGAAGCTCGGGCAGATCCCGCGCCGGCCTCGGCCCGCAGGGGGCGCCGTCCGCGGCCAGGGCCGCTTACCTTTGAGGACCGAGCAGAGCTGCTCCAGGGCCATGTTCCCAGCGGCCCGCGCTTCGTGAGGGGCCGCGGCGGCAGCGGGGCGGCGCGGCGCTCACGGCCCAGCGCGGCAGCGGCCCCGCTCTGTCCCCATCGCCGGCCACGGGCTGCCTCCTCGCGGAGTCGGGCTCGGTCTCTCAGCCCGCCAAACTCGATCCCCGTGGCGGGTCCCCACGTTGCCTGACTCTCTTCCCTCGACGGGCACCGCCTCGACCGCCCGGGAGGCGAGCAGGGCTGACGCGAAGCGCGGGACTCCCCGGCCGCTCGGCCCGCCTCCAGCCACCGCGGGGCTCCACTGAAGTGGCGAACGCGGGGAGCCCAGGCTCATTTAAGCAGGGAGCGCGAGCGCCGCGTGCCGGCTGCGCCTCGTGCGCATGTGCCGCCGCCGCCCGGCTCCCCCTCCCACCGCCCCGCCCGGCTCCCCCGCCCCCCATCCCCGTCTCGGCCCTGCCCGCGCACTCCGCCCCCGCCCCCTCCGCCCGCGCGCTCCGCCCCCTCCCCCTCCGCCCGCGCCCTCTGCTCCCCGCTCCCCCCCACCCCCAGTCCGCGAGCCTCCTGCTCCTCCTTCCCACCCCTCCGCCCCAGGCTGCGCGTTCCAGGTCTTGTTCTGGAAGCGCGTCGCGCGCCTGGGGCGACCGTTAGGGGTGGGGGTGGAGGGAGACTGGGCGTCGGGCCGGGAGGCTGGTTTGAGCTCCGGGCCTGAGGCACGCGGGTGACACCGACCCCCTGGCCCGTCCCCCTCCACCCTCTTTTGCTTCCCACTCTTCTGCCTGAGGACCTCAAGTCAAGGTGAAAACTTTGCCAGCTCAGCCCTGCTCAGCCACCTGCCATTTAGTGCCAGGTGAGTTCACCTGCCCAGCCATGAGGGTGAGGACAGCTCCCGGAGGCTTCCGGGGTGGCGGGGCGCAGCCCCAGGCGCTGATGTGCCAGCCTTCCGAGTCCTCAGGCCGGCCCGGGCGTGGAGGCAGGCTGGCCGAGGCCCTCGTCCACGCTAGAGGAGTGATGGGAGACTTTCTCCCCACAAACCTCCGTGAACCTCTAGGAACCTCGTAGAACTCCACTGATAAAACGGCTCCAGATTTGGTAACCCAAGTAGTTCGTGTGTGACCTGTTTCATTTTCGGCGTAGGACTTACATTGTAAATTGGCCTGGCTCCTTTGCTTAATAACCTTTAGTGCCTTAGTTCCCACCCCATTTACATAGACTCTGCTCCAAGGCAGGGGACCCATGTTCATTATTTCACTCATACATACTTCCTGGGTAGGATTTGTGTGCATTCAAAAATGATTACTGCCGGATAGAGAGCCTAGACGAAATCTCTACATTAGTAAAGCTGACACATAGTAGGAACTTAAATGTTTGTCTAGCAGCATGTAGCTAAAGAGCATGTTAGGCAAGAGCAGCCACAAAATATCCTATGGGTGTCAGGCTCTCTCTTTCCTTGTACCCCTCCAAGGAAGACACAATAGTGTAATTTATAAGTATGCAAATGTAAAACATTTAACATTGGTTAGAATAAAAGTGTTTAGCCCTTTATATTGATATGTACATGAGGTAAGGTTATAAAAGACATGAGTTTAAGTTTCTAAGGACAAGCACCTATAATTAAATTTAAAATTGCATACAGACCTAGTAAATAAAGTATTTAAGAAACTTTTACAAAAATATAATAGGGTGGCCTACTGATAAACTAGGACAGTAAGGACTATTGAAGTCTGATAAACTAGGACAGTAAGAAATAGACTATTAAGTCTAAGTCATAGACAACAGTGGTAAAACAACAAGAAAGGAAAAATACGAGAAGGAAGGAACTTGTGGAACAATAATAAATTTCTTATGTATAGTTGGTACCTTCAGGAAAATCGGCATGTATGGTGTCATCTGAGAATGGGCTAAAAAGGAGGTGACATAGAATGGAAAAGCTTTGGATGACAGGTGGAAAGGAGAGAGCTAGAGAGCCCATCAGAAAGGCATGGGAGAGAGCCTTGAATTTGTGGTGTTATTTTTTTTGGAAGTAAAGATAGGGTTGAATTCAGTGAGCTTTGGTTATAGAGATGGAGTAGTTCTTGAATGGGGAGTGGTTGGTTCTAGGACACCTCCTTTCCCTCCTCCCCACCATATGGAAATCTGGGCACAAGAAGTGATAAAGCATTTTCATCTAACATACACTCACTCCTTTATACTTCAAATCATCTCCAGATTACTTTCAGTATTTAATACCACACAAATATTACATAAATAGTTATTTATACTGTATTGGTTAGGAAATAATGACAAAGGAAGAACCTATACATGTTCAGTAAGACACTTTCTCTCTCTTTCTCTCCCCACCTGCCTCTCTCTCTTTGTGCTGGAACTGGGGCTTGAACTCAGTGCCTGAGTGCTGCCCCTTAGCATTTTCTGCTCAAAGTGGGCACTCTCTAACACTTGAGCCATAAGTTTATTTCTGGCCTTTTGGTGGTTAATTGGAGATGTGTTTCACAGATTTTCCTTCCCAGGCTGATGTGTAATCCTACAGATTACATGCCTGTGAGCCACCAGCACCTGGCACACATTCTTTCTTTCTTACCTTTTATTTAGTTTTGATTGGTTGGTGGTTGGTGGGGCTTGAATTTGGGGCCTGGGCACTGTCCCTGAGCTTTTTGCTCAAGGCTAGAGCTCTTTTGAGCCACACAACACTACTTCTGGTTTTCTGGTGGTTAATTGAAGATGAGTCTCATGGACTTTGCTGCCCGGGCTGGCTTTGAACTGCAACCCTCAGATTTTAGCCACCTGAATAGCTAGGATTACAAACATGAGCCACCAAAGCCTGGCTTCTTTTTTTTGGTTGTTGTCATAGGGCTTGAACTCTGGGCCTGGGCACTGCCCCTGAGCTCTTCAGCTCAAGGCTAACACTTCACCACTTGAGCCAAAGCGCCACTTCCGGTTTTCTGGGGGTTAATTGGAAAAAAGAGTCTCAGACTTTCCTGCCTGGGCTGGCTTTGAACCATGATCCTCAGATCTCAGCCTCTTGAGCAGCTAGGATCATAGGCGTGAGCCATTGGTGCCTGTCTTGCCTGTTTTTTTTTTTTTTAAAGTATATTTGATGGTTGAATTCCTAAATGTAGACACTTTTAGTGGCTGACTATACTTGTCTGAATGCTAGGTAGAGGAGTTTGTACTTCATTCACAGGTCAGAAGAATAATTTTTAATTGTGAAATGATGGAGTTCTGGGAAGAATAATTTGCAGTTGACTTGAGGATGTAATCAAAGAATGTGCAGTAATTTAAAAAGTAGTTATATAGTATTTCTTCATTTATATTAGTAGTTTTTACTGGTAGGATCATTTTGATAAAATTTAAGAAAGTCTTTTCTCTTGCAGTATATTGGCCTAGGAGTAGATTTCAGTTGGGAAAGTTCATTTTGTGGCTACCTTTTCAAACACTATCCTTAAGATGCACAGGTGTAATCATCTCTAGTAGATGTTTTCAGGAATATAGTAAAGCACAGTAGTCTCGGATTGAGACTACTGTGTGGCCATATGTTAGCTGAATCAAAAGGAAAGCAGTTTGCATATTTCTCTGCTGGAGAATACTGTGTTTGAATTATTATTTTCCCAGAAGACCACCTAGTAGCACCCAGTCTGTTCCCACATTACCTGCCAGTTTTCAGGTGATTAAGGACTCTCATTTCATCCTGCCTAATCTTCCAAGTACTGAAGTAGTCCTGCCAGATTCTCACAAAATCATTCCTGTAGTTCCAATTTTATTTTTTCTGAGTCCTATGTGTAGCACTTAAAGGTGGTGTATGACATTGACTTTATTATTGGAATGAATCATTAAAAAAAAGAGATAAATGTAGTGAGCATACTTATAATCCAGCACTTAGGAGGCTGAGGTGTGTTTCTGACAAAAATGAAGAAGGAGGAGGAGAAAAAAAGGGGGGGAGAGGAAAAGGAGGAGGAAGAGGAAAGGGAAAAGGAGGAGGAATGGCAGCAAAAGCAGCATAATTTTGTCTTAATGTTTATAAACTTAAATTTCAGTTGTATGGCTTTTTGACTGTAGTATGGGAATGCTCGTATTTATTGAAGGAGAGTCTACAGCTGCAGACTGCTGTGTTTAGAGGTGGTTAGTAACTGAATATGCTTCCAAACTTTATATGTTGAAGCCCTAATCTGGAGTATGGCTGCGTTTCAAGATGGGACTCCTAAACAAGTGATTAAGGTTAATTGAGGTCATAAGGTAAGGCCCTGGCCTGATGGAATTAGTGTCCTAGTAAGAGCTTCTTCTCTCTCTCCACAGGCAGAGGCACCAAGGAAAGGGTATATGAGGACATAAGGACAAGGTAGCCATCTGCAAGCCAGGAAGCGAGCCCTCACCAGAAGGCTGGTGCCTTGAAGATCTGGGCCTTCTAGCCTTTAGAGCTGTGAAAAAATCCAATCTGCTGTTTAAGCTACCCAGCTTCTGGTATATTGTTGTGGTAACAAATGAATTTACAAATAATCAAACTCTGATATGCAGAAAACCTTTTTGTATGAAAATGTAATGTGTGTCTCCCACTACTCTTATTTAGTATGCCAATATGGCTCCTCCTAGTGGCTCTTCCTCCTTGTCGTCTTCCTCCTCCTCTTTGTTTTCCTCCTCCTCCTCTTCCTCCTTTTCTTTGGCTGTATAGTCTTACTATATACCTTAGCCTCCTAAGCGCTGGATTTTAATCATGCACACTACATTTATCTCATTTTTGTAAATGATTCATTCTTTGGCCCCACAATTTCCCAGATTTCCCTTTTTCCCTCATCACAACAAGCTTAAAATTTTCTTTTCAATAGTATAAATTAGATACACATAGTTCAGAAAATGTTAACCATATGGTGGTATTCAGGTCCTGGGGATAGTCAGTGGGACACTATTTTGAACAATGCTCCTAGGCCTTTTTCCTTTAAAACTTTTTCTGTAGGCTTTGCTTTTTCTCTTGCCCAGTTTTCTTGCTTGGCTCATGATCTACTACTTGAGTTATGCTTCTACTTTGGCTTTGTACTGGCTATTT